ATTTGGACAGGGATTTAAGGGGTTAATATTCTGAATTTTTAAAATGTATATAAAACAGAGGGGAGGATGGATTAAGAGGGGGTACTTCTGGTTAGTGGGGACTGAGTGCACTGGCGTATGTTGGATGTCTGCTTAAATAACAAGGAGTGAACTCACTGATCATCCCATTTCCGATGCTGATCTGTTCTTGTTATATTTTCCACAGTCTATCACAGCAGATGTATGTCACTGAACACTTAGAAATTAAATATACAAACCACTTTTTGGTAATTTCCACTAGGCTTGAACTTGTACTGTTGACCTGTTTTACGTTTTACTCATGAAGATTTGGACTTGCATCACCAAATTTGGCACAGGTTGGGTGAATGCTGGACTGACCAGGGACTGGGTGAATGCGTGGCTCACAGTTTCATCCCTCCCCATTCGTGGCAACGTGGCCATTATTCATCTTCCTGAGTTTCTGTGCCATCTGACTTCTGGTTTCCTGATTACTTCAAATGTACTGCTCCTGTTGCTTCAACTTAAGAAACATTTCATTAGCTCAGTTGCTTGCAAATCGGGAAGATTTAGGATTTATTTGTCTATACTTATTGGTCTCACTTTGCTTTAGCCAAGACTGGTGCTTGCTGGGATTAGAACTGTAGCAGTGCTGACCACTAAAACTTTTCCACGAGACCATCAAGTTGCCCTGGAGCCAAAATGTAAATTCAAAGTAACGTATGCAAACTCAGGACAACCGTTCCAGTTTGCAGAGGGGAGAGAGGACTTTCAGATGATGACAGCTGTCTGCTGTGCAGGAGATAACCAGGGAGCTGGTTAAAAAAACATAGAGTTTCAGTCTTGTGAGAAATTTCCTCATCTTTGTATTTGCATTTATTCTGCATCAGTATCAAAACAAATATTTTCAATATTTTCAATCAAAGTGAAATTCTTATTTTTGAGCCTCTTCTTGTTTGTTTTCTGTCTAGATTTTTAAATGTTTAAATTAATTTTATTGTCTCCTTTTTTTTTTCAGAATACAGAAGTATTATATGACATGGCTTGTCTTTAAAATAGATTATTTTAAAATAATTTAGAACAGCTGCTTTCTAGTGATTGAGTCATCTCATTTTCTTAGATTAGAATCTCTTGTTTATTTTGTAATGAAATGGTTTGACACTAGGAACAAGAAATGAAGATAAATACTTGGCATACCAACTAGAAGAGCAGGTGCTTTTTTCAGCATCCTTCTTATTCTAAGGAAGTGCCATATTTCTTCTCCAGACATGTTTCAGTGCTTTTCTAAATGACTCCGGAGTTGGAAATTTCCATAGTTTTATATTGAAAAATGTTCTGTATATGATTCCCTGAAATTTCTCTAGCTTCAGAGCTTTTAGTTCAAGTGAATTAAGGAGAAGAGTGGCGACTTTTGATGTCTTTGTCACGCCTGGTCATAATCTGATCAGAGAGTATGGATTGATTCACAGCTGTGTTTTGTCATCCTTACTAAATAGTCGTGGTGCAAGACCTGACAAGAAGTCCAGACACAGAAAGGAAGTACAGCTTGTTCTTTTTTTCCTTCCAATGGTAAAACCTTAGGGAAACACGGGGGTGAGAAGATGCTTTGCCTTAAGTTAGATCAGCCAGCTGAGGTACATCAAGGCCTTAAGAAAAGGAGTGGTGCTGAGTGTACAGTATGCAAAAATAATCAAAACAACCAAGCAAACAACCTCCTCCCCACCCCACCCCGATTTAAATATTCATATAACCTGATGTATGTGATGTGTTACAGCATCTTTTCTGTCTGTAAGGAGCAATCTGCTGACAGGCACGTGCATGCAGACAAATACTGTAGCATATTTCACATATTTTAGTGAGGAAATAATAAGACTTCTGTACCTAGAGATTGTCCTGGCTATGAGAAATGTTGCAGAGCTGGATGGAGAGCCTGGATCTTGAATAGCACGGGTGGGTGCCAGGCCAGCCAGGGCTTGAGGAGCTGGTGCTGGCAGGCCCCGAGGGAGCCGGAGCTGCCAGCTGTACTGGGAGGGCTGGGGAGGACTGGGCTGAGCAGCTGCCTTACTTGGGAAGGAAAAATGATTCTCTTGTATCTGAGCTGGAAGAGAATTGGCCTCCTTTTCCAAACAGTGCTCTCTTTGTTGGGCTTCTTCGCATTTCACCTATGGTTTTGGTGCTCATCCACCAGCACTCAGCAGCTACAGGAGTCCATAGAATCCCTCAGCCACAAAAACTTTGGTGTAGAGGAGCATTAACAGCTCTCAGATGGCAAGGTGGAGGTTCAGGGAACGTCAGCTTGATGTGGCCATGAAGGAAGTGAGCAGCAGCGGTGGGACCACAGCCCACAGCTCAGGCCCATCCAGCAGCAGCTGCAGATCCCGTCCTCACCTCTTCAGTCGTGCAGGGCTTTTCCCGAAACCAGGGAAGTGTTTCAGACTAACTCTGCCAAGAGCAATGAGCAGGTACCTAGCTGTATCTGCTGACACAGTACTGTGTAACAGTCTCTTAAATATTTCTGCTTGTGGGCTGAACAAAACAGGACCCACATAAACACCCACAGGTTTGTACTTCTGCTTTTCTGCTCTCTGTGTTTCCGTATTAAAATGGTAAGTTTTGGGGACAAGGTTTGCTTTCTCTCAATGTCGGCATGTCACCTGGTTTAATGGGGTCATATCCACTTAAATAGTGTCTGCTACAGTAACAGACTCACAGTTTGGATATGCCTTGAATGGGCCTTTACTGCAGTTTAAAAAAAAAAAAAAAAGTTTGTGGAAATATGTCTGATCTGAGTGAGCAGTCTTTCTGAGAACTCACCCAAACTTTGATGTCAAGGCTTGGGCAAGTTCTCTCTCAAGTAGTGTTTTTTCCTACCCAGCTTGTCATGAGTTGAACTTAGGCTCTTTTAAGATTCCTTGTGCTCATTTTCTATGCTATAGTGACCAGCAAAAAATTATTTTATTTATTTATTTATTACGTCAGTGACTTTCCTGGTTGTTGTTTCTGTTTTCTCCAAAACATATCTATCTGTTTGCTTTTGTGCATGTATACATATTAATGAAGAAAAGTGGTTCATTTTGTAGTAATTTTTGAACTGGCATAGGTAGGGGTGAGTACTGTTATTTATACGTGAATCAAGGACAATGTCATCTTCCACTTAAATTTGTAGCCTTCTGTATAATGTGTTCAAAACCAAATAGCACTAATTTTGCATAGACAACTAACAGCATATCATGTGAACATGATTTTTGGAGTTGTAGTGGTAGGAGGCTCCCTTTCTTTTTCCCAGATTTTTAATTTGTTCATTCTCCTCTGGAAGTTTTCAGAATTCAGATTTCTCTCTCACTTGATTCTCAACGAGAGCATATAGATGGCATTGGTTCATTCCTACAGAACTTAATACTTTTTTTCTTTCTGGAATTTGCAATGGCATTGACTGGGTCATGCCTCTTAATTTATGATCTTTGACCCTCATTCAGATTCTGATGGTAGTGCACAGATTCTCTTGCCTTGGAGTGCCTTCATGCAGTAGGAATTGTCCAAATATTGTCTTATGTTGAGGTGCATTGCAGGGACCTCACCAAACCTGAGGACAAGGAGTGAAAGTAAAGATTTCCCCTCCCTGCAAATAGTTTTCTTACTTTAATGAACATTGTGCTAAGATCTGTTTCTTTTCAGGTTTTGGACAAGTAATAAAAATTCAAAGACAGGTTGTAAATCCTGGAAAAATTAGCAAATTTTCAATGAAATCAACTCTACAAGTTGCTTATTATAATTCCTTTTTTTTTTTTTTTTTTGTTATCCTGTTACTATGAAAGCCTCATCTTTTTAAACATTGTATATGTATTTTTCCTCAAATCACAACATTTTCCTGCTGTCATGAAACAAGCGACTTAAAAATTTTCAAAGACTCTTTCAGCAAAGCTGGGAATTAGATTCACATGGAGTCCTTCATAAAAAATTGAAGACTTTGTATATTAACATACATTGATTTATTCATAGTGTTTCATTACAAATAAGCGAGGATCCCATAATATCAGGAAAGGTTAGGAGAGCAGTGGTGCGCGTTATATTATATTGACAGCTCAGTTGAAATTGAGCTGCCTTTGGATTGAATTTGGAAGGTGGGGAAGGAATTGGCTGGTAAATAAGTCATGAGTTCTCCTTGCAAGTGTCTGTATATCAACAGGGTTGTCGTGGGTAAGCATAATGAAGCTCGAGCAGAATTTCAAAGGTGTGCATTCAGCTTGGATCCCTCTAAAGATGTGTTAGTGTATGTATTCCTGAGGAGCTCTCCAGGTCTGTAACCCCACCGCCTTGTTTTCTCAGGTGAACACCGGGCATGGTACCGTGTGTAAGCCTGCAAAGCGAGGCTAAAAGCGGGGAAGAAATCGAGCTAGTGAGACAATTCCTGACAGAGAAGATGAGGGCTTTTTTTCTGAATGCTTGATGATATATATTTGATGTAAACCTATCATTTAATTTCAGCATTTCATTTTGGCATAATCTCTTTAGCATAGGAAAAGAATTCAAAAGACTGTTGTCAGTAAAAGGCTCCTGTAGTTTTCAGGTGGCTTTTGGGGAGAAAAACTGCTTGATAGAAAGTGTATCTAAGTTTGCACCAGAAGTTTTCCTGGGCGGTGGGGGATCATGTGGGAAAATCGCATGAAAATTGTGTAGGTCGTGCTGTGCACACTGCTTCAGCTGCACAAGTTCTGAATTTCAGAACAAAAAGCAATTCTTTGTGTCTTTTGTTGTAAATCAGCACATGCTGAGGTTTTAGTGGAGAGAAGAAATTAGTTTCTTCCTAAGTAAAGCCTTGGAAAAATTGTCATGTTTGCTTGCCAGTATCCAAACACCGGATTGTTCACTGGGGATACGGAAATAATATCTGCCCTTTTATTTTCAATCTTGAATTTCAAGAAGGAGCAAAGTAGGGGAAAGCAGAGAAAGGCCAGGTACAGAAGGCCCCTTATCACCTTACTTTCCTTGTTCTTTATTTGCAGATTACATACAAGGCCGTTGGGTCTCTGGATCCCAGTGCTGACCTGTCCAGCCAAAGAGGGAAAGTCTTCAAGCTAAGGAATGAAACACATCACCTCTTTGTAGGATTATACCCAGGGACTACGTATTCATTCACCATCAAAGCCAGCACAGTCAAGGGCTTTGGGCCACCCATCACAACACGGATTGCAACTAAGATTTCAGGTACTGCTTTGGAAAAAAACACGAAAATATACAAACAAAAACTTTGTAGGACTTTATTCTTTAGACCCACAGCTGATGCATAAAACAATAAAAAGGCTTTTGGCTTAGTGTCTCCTCTGCAAGTTTCACAAGGCAAATTTCTCAAGGGGCCGCTATCTCTATGTGTTTGTATTTGTGTTTGTCCAGATTACAAATGCAGTGCTTAATTTGTGGATGTGTTAGGAGCATTGGAAGTGAGTACCTTGATTAGTTCTTCAGATGAACTGCTGCTACAACAGACTATTAGAATTATATGCTTAGTTAGAGAAGCTTCTTCAAAAATGTGACTTTTATCTTAATGCACCAAAAAGGGATGTAATAAAGTAATTGAATGAATAGTGGTAGGAGATTAAAATAAAGAAGGTAGAGTGTTTTTATGTGGGTTTTGTTTGTTTTCTTTTCTGAGTAAGAACAGAGGGAAGGCTGGAGGTAGGTAAACAGGTACGTGAAAGGCACTGAAATCATGATGCACTGCAACAAGAAAGTTCCTGGGTGTCTAGGAAAAAAACAAAAAGGAAACTTGGTCTAGCTAACAAAAGTAAAAATGGATAAGGGGATGGTAGAGAGGACACTGGACAAACATATGTAGACTATAATTTTAAATTTTAACTTTTATCTGTTTTCTCAGTGAAGCCAAAGCAAACGTTTGGGATATTCAGGACACTTGTAATGCTGAAATATGCAGCACTGTGTGTTTTCCTTTACCCCATTTCAAAACATGTTAATAAAAAGTTGTTAGCAATAAGTGACAGTGTAAACTTTAAGGAAGTAACATATGTGCATTCTCTCCACTGATCGTCAGAAAGGTTTGAGACCTTTAGATTTAGTGCAAAAGCCCATGTTTCACCACTTGAAGTAAAGCATTAACTGTTGTAACAGCTCCGTGGGCTGTTAGGGTTTGTTCAGCCCTGCTGTGGAGGGCAGGCATGGTGTACCCTCTGTTCACCTGTGACCAAAGGACTAAAACAGAACAGGAGTGGTTGTGCTTTTTCTCTCTGATTCAGTTTCTTTTCATTTTATTATTCAGAGAGTACTCAAATCTTGTTAGGAGCCTGCATGATTATTAACTGTATGCACACTGAGCTCAGTTTATTGTCTCTTTTTTTCTGTCCCCTAAACATCTGGTTCACAATAGGTAGGCACAGACTCCATGCAGGCACTAGTGTAGTCTTTGACATGAGATTTTCTCATGGTTGGCCCTATACGTGGAATTTTGAAGTTTCTATTAAACTTAAGATGCAGTCAGAAAGGAAGTAAGGAGAAAAATGATTTTTTCATTGACTTATTTTCACTTATGAGAATGGTCTTGTAAGGCTTTCTGAAAATAGATCATTTTTAAATGAAAATCTATCTATATTCTAGGAGTGTATGTGTTTATATGGGGGGATGTTTGTTTATTTCTTAATCACACCTAAATGCCAGAATTACAGAGGACTTCTCTTCGGGCAGGACTGGAATCTTAATGAAATCAGCATTAAATTGTTGAGCAGTGCTTGCTCTTTCCAAAAAGTCGCTGCCAAGTGGCATTTCATTGAGGTGCTACACAACTCTTCTGTGTTGGGTACACAAGAATACTAGGTTGTATTGCAGTGTTATACGACTAATATGGAGCGATTGCTGAATTACACCTGAGAGCATTAGTTAGTCCTGCTGAGGCCTATGTTTCTTCCACTTACTTCTCAACTATATGGTGTCTGGCAGTAAAACTGTAAATTCACTTCAGCAGGTGCAGTGTTTTAGGTAGAAGATAACTAAACAGGTCTCATACACAGCCAGAAGGAGCCGTCCGAGCTAGCTAACATCAGAAGCAATTTAGTCGCAGCAGTGCAGTGCTGCAGCTAGGCTAAGGATAGCTGCTGCTTCTGTTTAAAGTAGGACTGTGGAACCTGCAAAGGTAGAGCCCAGCCTGTTTCTGGTGTCTAAAATGGCCCTGCAACCTGTTGGTGGCACCGCGGTTGTTGTGGCAAAATCCCTTCTGCTCTGAGCAGGTGCTGAATGAGTACCACTGTAAGTGTGGTGGTACCTGGCATGGAAGACTGCTGGTGGCAGGCAACATTTTTAAATGACTCTCCTTGATGCAGAATACTTTTTTTTCTGAGAAATCCTTGCTAAGGAATTGGCATTCATTCTGAACTCATTGCTAGCTTATTGATGGGGAAGTCAGTTGCTGAGCTGATAATAGCAAACACCATTCTTGACAGTTTTCAGGCATTTAGATAAAAATCCTGATTGTAAACAGGATTACAGTGAAAATCTCTGTGAGAGGATTAAATATGGGACCCCCGCAATGCAGCTTGCCCTTGAGAACTACAGCTGAACTGAGTGGACTACTCTCTTTGTGTAAATTCTCCTATTTGCTTTATATTTAAGTGTATTTCAACAAAACCTGCATCTTTGGAATAAACACGATGCTGCTCTGATCTCATGATCTCTTCAGTTCTTCCACAGTAAAAATCACGTCTGCTATTGGGGAAGGAAGAAGTAATAGAATAAGTCAAACGTGTTTCCTAAGGAAACCTATCCTACCTTCAAGAAATGACCGTAGTAGAAGATGATAAAGCAGAAGGAAGAGCTAGACTTTGGCTAAGTGTGACCATTCAGTGGTTTTCTGTTCTGTCATGAGGAACACTCGGTGAGGCGATGGATGCCATGGCTGGTTGCTGTCCGAGTGTACCTCTGGAAGCAGTGCAGCCACCTCTTGCTTTCAGTGTTCAACAGCACTGAAGCACTGGGGTTAAATATTGGGGATTTGAGTGCTAAAACAAACTGGGTAATTCAGTGTTCCTCTCCTTTGATGCTTTCCTGCTTCATAATGTACCCTCAGCTAATCAAGGAGACACAGCTCAAGCCTATGTATTAAAAACTCTAAGCTGTGGGAAGTCTAACCATTGACATGAACAGTGGACAAAAGCCCGGCTCCTGGGGTGCCACTCTCAGCTCTGCCACTGATCCATTGGTCCTAGGTGGTGTCTTCCAACTTCCACATGCTTTACTTTCTTCACCTTTAAAATTGAAGAGATGATCCCATCTCAAAGGATTGCTAAGTCTTAAAAATTCATGAGAGGATTTTCAAAGCCAGCTTGAAGATTTGGGTGTCCGATTCCTGTTTAATTTTAATAGAAAATGAGTGTACAAATTTTTAAACAGTTTTGACAATTCTGGTCATAACATTTAGAAACTATTTTGATGTTTCATTTGAGAAATGTGAAACGGTCTCCAAGAAGTGTTAATATTACGTTGCCATCACTACCAAAGGCAGTAACTGGCGTATAACTAACGCGTTGCTCTTTGTTCTGCCGCAGCGCCATCGATGCCAGAATACGACACCGACTCCCCCTTGAACGAGACTGACACCACCATCACCGTTATGCTGAAGCCTGCTCAGTCCCGGGGAGCCCCTGTCAGGTAGGTGTTTTGTCTTCCCTTTTCACAGTTCTCCCCTCTCCTTCCTCCCCAGGTTTCACTCACGCCTTTCATTCTCGTCTGGTAGCGTAGCCGCTGAAAGCAAGCGCTTACTGAAAGGCCAGCTCTGCTGTTGATTCAGCCTTTCACGGCCTCCTTTTATAAATGCCTCAATCTGCTTGCCTCCCGCTGGTAACCTCCAGGAAGGATTGCTGATGGCATGGCACGGGGTTATTACCCTTTCAGCATCACTTCAGATGCCTTTGCAATGCTGGAGTTTCAGTACACGGAGCTGCGTGCTGTGGTGTGAATTTTGCATCGCCCTGCAAGGGTGGGAAGAGGCTTCAGGCCTCCATCTCCTGCCCTCGTTCCTGCCATGGACAAGGCCTTTTTTGTAGCTCTGTAAGATGAATGACTGAAATATATTTGATGTTTGCAGATGCATTTGTTCAATTTACATCCAGCCAGACTCCTTATATGTCAATGTTGTAATCCAGCTGTTGCCACCAGGCTGGATGCAGTGAGCGAGTGCTTGAGACTGGAAAAATCTCACTGGTTTAGTGAGACTTTGCCAGGTGGAGGTGAGCACAGTTTCCATTTGCAGAGCACAGGATTTAGGGGGCAGGAAGCTGTACAGATGAAACTTGTGGAACAGAATGACCTTGTAGAAAACGTTTCTGGTTAATCCTGAGTTAGATCCCATTCTTAACACTAAGATGTCCAATGCTGAAATGGGACACTTCATTGCCGATCGCTCCCTGACTGTGGAAACATGACTTAGAGGCCTGTACTTCACTGCCATCTTTTGCCTTGGTAAATTTATACATGCTGAAAAGTATGAGCACAGAACAAACTCCCCTTCCGAGCCAGCACTGCTGGCTGCCTTACCTGTCTGGCAGAAATGCCATGCAGAGGTTCATCCTGCCATTCTCTTCAGCTGAGTGTATGAATTATAACCACTTAGAATAAAAACAGTTGCCTGCTTTACCTAGGAAGATCTGGGCTGCTTTGCAGAAGTATCCAGCAGCCATTACCTTCCTGTAGGCTTTTCGGGATTTACCTCAGGTTTACACAAGTCATTTCTGAAATTTCTCCTCTGGATGATATTTTAAAAACACACAGTCCCTTCTCTCAGAAATGACTTGGCTTTGCTAGGTTCTTTGTGCTTTTTAAAGGATGTCCCACGGAATATTCAGGAGCAGATTAGTCACAAGTAAACCTATTTGATTTAATAATCCTATATCAATTAGTTGTCCACCCTACATCACAGCTTTCCTCCAAATTGCAGTGATACTTTTTCCATTAAAGTCTTTTTTTTTTTTTTTAACTTAGCACCACCTTTCTAGATTTTCTGAGGGATGGGCTGTAATGTTTCTCTTTTAATCTCTGGTACTCCATATGAGCGAATTTAGGAGCCTATTTTCTGAGTCCTTTAGGGATGTTGTTCTGCTGGAAAATAGCAGTAAAATCACACAGCTCTGTTTTGTTTTATTTCTTTATATGGGGGAACATTCCTGTATCTCATTGTACCACCTGCTGTCTAAAGAGTGTTGCTATTCTGTTTTTTATTGAAAGTCATGTGATTTTTCTCGAAGTCAATTTGCCATACTTTAACCTCAATCACTGAATAATGCCTTTTCTAGCAAATGTGTATACTATAAAGGACAAACCAAAATCTGTAAAGATTTTTATAATTTTTCAGTCTGGTTCCTTTAATTGTATTGTAGCCTATTGTATGCACATTTGCAGAGTGTAATATTTACATTGCCATGTCTAAATGATAAGATTATTTCCCAAAATGAGCCCATTTCATTGACTTAGACGTGTGTATAAAAAAACAAATGGAAGTGTGTGTGGCAGGGGGAGGAGGCCTGTGGAGATTTTAAACATTTTATTAGATCTGACAGCTTCACAATGTGTGAATACCTTTCACTGTATAAACAAATAGTTTGGTTTTAGTCTAACTTCAGCAATATTATTATAAGCAACCTTATATCCAGGGAAGTGGTCACTGCACCGAACCTGACTGAATTTAAGAAGAGATTGGACTGTGCACTTAGTCACATGGTCTGAACTTGGGTAGACCTGTGCGGTGTCAAGAGTTGGACTTGATGATCCTTAAGGGTCCCTTCCAACTCAGGATATTCTATGATTCTATTCTATATCATGTTTTTCGTACCTCTTCCCTTTTCTTTCAGTTTGCTCTGCATACTCTCCAATTTGTGTAAATCCTCTTATAATATAATATCCAAAAGCAGGTAGCACTGCCTCGGGGGCTTCAACACCACCCAGCAGATTAGAAGAATAATGTCTTGTGAACTGTTTGTGACACTCTTAATACACAAGAATGAGGTGTTCCTCCCCCGGCCCCATGTTTGTTTTTCCTATTCAAGCTGAGAGCCAATATATCCCCTTTGTTGTTGTTTGGTTAGTTGTTCTCTGTTTTATGTTTATTTCTCCTTCACAAGTACAGTATTTTGTATTCACTTCCACTAAATATCTTCAAACTGATTTTCAAAATGCTTTTAAATTCTGATGCAAACCTGAAGGACTTCCAGACCCTCTTAGTCTGATGCCATTCTCCGTTGAGTTACCCAGAGCCTTAGTGAAAATACAGGACCAGAGTCAAGACAAATGTCTTTAGGCAGTCCTGGTGCTAAGCATCGAGGCTTTGCAGTAGTAGGTGGAGGGGAGGCCGCGGGATGCAGCATGCCAGTAGGATCTCTGTGCTCCTGGTCCCCATTGTAGACACAGCTGTGCTTTCCTAGATCCTTTCTGGTTTGCACACTGACCACCCAGCCTGCCTGGGATGTTTCTGAAATACTACTTAAAATAGGCTGAAATAGATCTTCCTCACACTATCACATCAAACCTTGGATCTTCAGGTCTTTCACTGTGCAGGAAGAGGCAGGCCCCTCATCTCCTTGTCCCAATAGTTCTCCAGGCAGCCAGTTTCTGCTCTGCAGCTCTCCAGGTTTTCAATATAATCCTTCTAAACCGTGTAAATGAGAAAACCTCAGTACACAGTAATTATTTTTAGTATTTCCTCTTAGATGCCAGAGAGGATGAGTTAGAGTATACACAGGGATGCAATTGTGAGCTAGTATCTATACATAAGATAGTTCTGTGCCTTTGTCTCGTGTAATTTCATTCTGCTGTAGCCTGAACAGCATACAGATGGAGTGTGGTTTGCAAGATCATTTTTAGAGTAATATTGTAGAATATTTCAAATAAGATTCATTGTACTTCCACTCATTTGAAGTGCAGGTACACTGAATCCAAAGTCACTTTCAACATTAAGACATTTCTGATGTTTCCCAGTGCTCAGGATAAATAACTTAAATGAGGTTGTTTATAAAACTAATGATCATCAACTCAACATTGTTAACAATCTATAGATAACAATCAAGATGCTTTCATATGAACTAATAGGAATAATGTAAATTTAGATATTCTTTTATATATTCTGTCCTATTGCCAAAAAAAAAAAGTGAAGTATCAGCAAGCCATAAATATTCTCCCTTGTGGTCTAGGCACTTCATCCTTGCCTTTATTTTCCATGATATAAGCTGCAGAGCTTGACTCCATATTGCCCTTTAAAAATAACTTTTAGGTGTTCTTATTATCAATCTAAAGCCCATGAATGGTGTTGTGATTGATTGCGGAAGACTGACATTCATCTATAATAGATTCAGAAGAGGAAAGAAGAATGCAAGTGTTCCCAATTCTTAGTCCTCGACTCTTTTCTGAAAAAAACTCCAGTGAGATTTGGAGGATAATTCTGCCTCTGAATCTGTTATTGTCAGGAGGGCTGAGTCAGTCCTTCATAGATTATTCACATATGACATCTTTAGACCTCTATTTGAGAATTTATATCTCATTCACGGCTTGAAAATACTGCTGTGAAGGATTTTATCTACATGACAAGTCTACCGGGATGTTTGCTCTGTGTTGGATATTTGAAAGTCCATCTGGTTTATTAGCATACTGTTGGTTGTATCAATCTACCTATATTACTGTTATGGAGGAAATCAAATTTCCAGAGCATGTTTTAAGGATTTCAGAGTTTAAATAAATGCTCACCTTAAGTGTGATTGCATTGTTGGCATGCTGTTCTGTGTATTGGTGCTGTAGGACGCTGTAGAAGGATGTTAGAGAAGAGTATGCAATTATATTTTGGGGTTTCAGAATATGAAGAACTTCTTTGCTGGAAAAAGATGGATTTGATCTCTCTATCTTGCTGCAGTTGTCCAAGGTGTGTTGGTATAAAATCTGTGATTTTTCTTTTGCATGTCTGCCAGCATGGAGGTACCTGATGGCCTTTTAGGCACCTGAACCTGTACTGGGCTAAAGAGGAGTGTTTTTGGAACACTGGTGTTCAAACTTTGCACATAACCTCATGCATACATACATGTGTGTGCATATATGTAGATGCTGTGTAAGGAGTTGGTATAAGTGATTCTGGACAAATATATTCAGGTCAGAGTCATTTATGATGCATACGTGCAATGGTTGGATACACATAATCACTTTGGTGAGGATGGGTGGTTTATTGTGTTAATGTACATCTTAGAGGAAATAAGGAAATTACATAGGAGAAGGGGACTTTAAATATTTGGAGTATACCTAGAAGCACTGAATAAAGGTGAAACAAGTATTTTCATATCAACAGCCAGCTGGTAGGAGACATTAATTTATATTAACCAAGCTCTGTGTTACTCTTGAGTATTACCTCGTTTTTGGTCTCCCAAGCATGAAATATAAGAAATGTTTTTGGTCTATGTGTTGCTAAATGGATCAAGAGAATACAGTTGTGTTGCTATTCAACACAATGCTTAAGAACACACTTCTTAAGAAGTGTTTTTTTTTTTTTCTGTTCTTCTGCTCAAGCTATTTTCCAAGCAAACAATTTCTGAGGTATGTGTGTATTTATGTTATACCTACATATAATAACAAATGAAAACTTCCCGTGATGCAGGGCAGTGGCATTGCTTCCGTCCTAT